TAGTGTGATTCAGCCCATAGCGCTGTATGGAAGTGAGGTTTGGGGTCCACTCAGTGATCAGAGCTACACTAGATGGGACAGACATCCAACGGACGCCCTACACACAGAATTCTGCAAAATGATACTAAAACTACAAAGAAAAACAACCAAACGCATGCAGGGCAGAATTAGGCCGATTCCCATTGATTATTAATATGCATAAAAGATCTCTCAAATTCTGGATGCATCTTAAATCAAGTCCCACAGAATCGCTACATTTTAAAGCGCTACAAACCCAAGAACTGAACCCCGAAAAGAGTCCACTCAGTCAGCTAGTTCTGAGACTTACTAACCTGACTAACTCTACTAGCACTATCCAGTCTCAAACCAGCACTGCTTCTCACCCGAACATCAAAATAAATCAAATTATCAAACAATCTAAAAATACATATCTGGAACATTGGGATCAAGAAACTAAAACACAAAGTAAATTACAATTCTATCGAACTCTAAAATCAAATTATGAATTGGAAGATTATCTCCAGAGTGTCAGAGACACAAAGCAGAGACGGATCCTGACCAAGTACAGGCTCCGTGAGCACAGTCTAGCCATTGAGACCGGCAGACACAGAAAAAGCTGGTTACCCAGAGAGCAAAGGGTGTGTGCTCACTGTGAGACAGGAGAGATCGAGACAGAGATGCACTTCCTCCTTCACTGTCATAAATACATACCCATAAGAAACCTCTACTTCAACAAATTCACCAACTTAATAAAGAACTTTACAGCCATTAGTGAAACAGAACAAATAAAGATACTTTTAGGAGAGGGACAGACAGCAGCACTTGCTGCGAGATACGTGTGGATGTGCCACAGCCTGAGAGACAGTGTGTTACCCTACTGTCCACCACAGTGATCCTTAGTGATCAGTGATGAGAAGTATGTATGTGTGTTTCTATGTAAGTTAAAGACTGTGGTATCAAATGTTCACACGTTATAATTTGTTACAGTTTAATATTTCTAAGATGTTATAATATTCCAGTCATGCCATAAAGCAATTTTGAATTTAATCGAATTGAGAGAGAGAGAGATTGCAAGCTCGTAGACAGGAGGAGTGTGTTCGACCAAAGTCGCTTTCTCGGTTCGACTTGAAGCAGCAATGCGCAGACCGATCGCTGTATGACATCAAAGCACTGCGAGAGCTACAGAGAACAGATGGCTCTGCGTGCTTTCGAATCGCTCTCGTGGTACTTTTGATGTCCGATCAGTCTGCGCGCTGCTGCGTAGATGTCGCCGTGGAAGTTCTTCATTGTGAGTTAAACAGACACAAAGTTCATTTATAATACAGTATTGACTGTTTTTGCTCAAGTTCGCTGACGAAGTTTCAGTCAAAGCCACAGCAGAACTGTTTTGTGTCTCCGAGCAACACAGCGGTGTTTCGATACTGAATGAATCCACGTTTTTGAACGAATCAAGTGAGTCAATGATTCAGTAACCCATTCATAAAGACAGTGGCTGTGTTCGAAATGCGATACTATCATACTATTACTATTTCTGCAGTATCCAGTATGTATTCTGTGCATAGTATGCAAATTTTCTGTATGCATGTAATACCCGGATGACCTACTATATTCGCCAGAATCTGCTAAATATAACTCAAGTACACTGAAATCAGTACAGAAGCTGTTCGGAATGGCATACTACCATACTATATTGCAGTGTGCCATGTGTATACTGTGAATAGTATGTGAATTTTCTGTATGCATGGAATGCCCGGATTACCTGCTACATTGGCTGAAATTTGATGTATGCATCTGAAGACGCTGCATGGGATACTGTTTCCCAGAACGCAATGCGCTCCATGTGACGTTTCATCTTCAAACGCGTGAGTGAACTGGAGGTGGGGAATAGTAATTATAAATGTAACACTTGTATTTGTACGTATATACATATACATGTAAACTACAAACTATCGCTGTGTATCTAAAAACAGTATCGTTAGTAGGACATAAATTGTACTTTAATCTCTACAGCACGTTTCTGATCATCAAATGACGTCACCTTTATCTTTATAGAGCTTTATACAGTACATATTCTTTCAAAGATATTAAATAATAATTATGTTGCAGCAATATAATATATAAATAAAAATATTTCAATTATGCAAACAGAATTCAATTCCACTGTCAAGCAGCTCTAAAAAAAAATTGAGTGTATTACTCTTAAGGACAAATAGACCAATTTGTTGGCAGAGGCTATTTACATTAACTCCGCCCACCAATGCCTGGCTGTGATTAAATATATAGCTTTTTAATATATCGCCACTTAGTGTAACTACCAAAAATAAAAACAGCTCAGTGTTGATTTAGTGCTGTCCAATATGTAAAGTTAATCAATTATGAAATGAGTTCAATTGGGCAATATAGCATTGTTTACTAGTATGAAGCCTTATTAACAAGTCTTTGTAAAAAGAACAGTTAGCTCATTTGTTTCTAAGGTAACAACCTTGACAGCTGTGCTGAATTAATGTTCAGTGTTTGTCATGTGACAGCACTTAAGCATACTACTCTGAAACATTTATTGCTTATTGTATACTGTTTCACACACTATTCTTTAAAAAAATAGTAGGCAGTATGCACTGTGTACTGGGCAGTAAGCAGTAAGCAAGTATGCCATTTCGAACACAGCCAGTAGTCACTTGCCTCGTTTTTGACTGAATCAGCCGTTTAATGACTCACTCATTAAAACAGTCATTTACCGTCATCTACTGGTGGTTTGGTTTCATATTTAAAAGTATTGCATTTTTCCCAACATTTTTTATTTGTATGTTCAAAACTATTTAAAACATTAATATTATAAAATTATTTATGCATTTGAAATGTTGTGGTGTAAATGCATTTATGGCACCTCAGCTTCATTAAACAGTCTGTGTAAATACATCTAATGCCACTTCAGATGCAGCTTCTGTTTCCTCTGCAGTGAAAAGATGGAGTTTGTTAAAATTTGCAAAAATAAATTTCTCCACTGCTCACAAAGAGAAGTATGAACACAGATGACAACAGAGTTGCACTGTCCAAAAAGTTTGTGGTATAAATGTGCTTTTTTTTTACTTGAAGCATATGCCGTCTTTTTCCTTTATTGTTGTCAGAGTGCACCAGAATGCTTCATTTACATGTTAAATTCTCAAAAAATTTCTTCTGGGGTTGGGGGGGTTGGTGCTCCCAGACCCCCCTACAAGGGTCATATTTAGAACTATATCACCTTTTTGACCTCTTGTGAGTTTGCAAGTATGATCATTTAAAAAAATTTTTTTGCAGAATCTAATTAATTATTTCTTTCTTTTGATTTTGAGTTGAAATGTGACATAGACATGTTCTTGACAAATTTAGTATTGATGGATAAACAAACATTGTAAACAAAAAACTGTTTTAAATTAAACACTAGCTGAAAGGTAAAGCACACAGGTTTGTTATTGCACATTGTAAGCTATGAAAGGATTTTCTCGTTGCCAGCTCCTATCTGCACTGTAAATGGGCGACCTTGGAGGAACTGGAGAAGGACCCACGCATTGGCCAAAAAATCAAGCGCTTCAGAAACAAGCAGGCGCAAATGAAGCATATTTTCACAGAGGTGCGTCTGCCAAAACATGCTACAGTTTATTTGTGGTTCATTTACAGTTATAACCAGGAGATGCACCAGATATACAAGGATGTAAAAACTGATGCATGTAGAAAATTCAAGAATTTTGGATTTTCTTGTCAAGTACCTCACCTTTAAATCAATGCTTTTGTCATTGACTGTCTACGTATGTGTTATTTGCCTAAATCTGCTTGAGATGAAGTTGTGTTTCTCCTCAGCTGGATGAAGACCTGTTTAATCCAGATTATATTGAAGTTGATCGGGTTTTAGAGATTGCTATCACCACAGATACAGAAACTGGAGAGGTGAGGTGCTCTTCAAATTCTCTTAAAAAACCAATTTTATTCCTTTCAACCTTTTATATATACTAGTGGTGCCAAGTCTTTTGATGTTTGGTTTGGCTGCATGTTAACAGGAAGTTACACACTACCTGGTGAAGTGGTGCTCTTTGTCATATGAGGAGAGTACTTGGGAGCTTCAGGAAGATGTTGACCCTGTGAAAATCAGAGAGTTTGAAGATCTCAAGGAAATTCCAGATATCAAGCATGTGGTAAGTCCTTGAATGCAAATCATTGCATGGTTCAGCTGCAGGTTTTATCGTACAGTCCAAAACATTTTTATTCTGCTTCGCTTTTTAGCATATATCTCAGACTAGGAAAAGAGGTGACACTTCTCTTATCTTAATACAGGAAAGGCCTCTGCCCGAACAGTGGCAAAAACTGGAGAAGTCCAGAGAGTACAGGAATGGAAACCAGCTGCGTGAATACCAGTTAGAGGGAATGAACTGGCTCCTTTTCAACTGGTACAACAGGTGAAACAAACTTTTAATATCTGCACTTGTAGGCCTACAAAACATCATGATCCTATTTTGAAGGTATAAAGTAACTATTTAAGATAAGAACTAATAGTAAAAAAGGCTAATAGCAATAATTACATTGACAAAATGTTTTTTTAACTTAAATTTAAATTGATTTGTAAAATAAGAAATACTAGGTTTTTATATAAATAATGATTAATCTGTTTGTTTTATTGAGTAATTCATCTCACATTTAATTAGCTGAAAGGACTGTCAATTTCAACATGTTAATTTAGTGTGATCTAATTATAAAAAATACCCCCCCCCAAAATAAAATGTATCATGTTTAATAATTTTAAACATAATTTTGTCTGACACAGTATAATGTCTTTCAGTTGTCTTTTAAATAATAACTATTATAATATGAATAAATGTAAAGAATATTATAATATGTAATTTGTTTAATATATCAGCATGTAATTAACTTTATAATAATTATGTAACTAATAATAATAATAATAAACAGCTCTATCTAAAAGCAAATGCAATTATATGTGCGATTATGCAATCTGACATGATTAATAAACTCCTTAACTCCTGAACATGTTTCTCTTGATGTAGGAAAAACTGTATTCTGGCTGATGAGATGGGGCTGGGGAAGACCATCCAGTCCATCACGTTCCTCTATGAGATTTATCTCATGGATCTGAGAGGACCCTTCCTCATCATCGCCCCGCTCTCCACCATCACCAACTGGGAGAGAGAGTTCCGCACATGGACTGAAATGAACGTCATCGTCTATCACGGCAGCCAGATCAGTCGGCAGATGATCCTGCAGTATGAGATGTACCACCGGGATGAACAGGTGGGTCAAACAGAGCGATTCATTTTGAGTTCTCAGTAGAGCCCGACCGATATGGGTTTTTTGAGGGGCCGATGCCGATACCGATATTAGGGAGTATAAAAGACCGATACCGATATATCGGCCGATATTCTTTGTGTAGGCTATATTATAGTACAATATAGTCAAAAGTTTGGACACACTTCCCATTAGTGTGTCCACATGTAGGGCAAGCAAGCTACTTCCAAACCAATAGAGTCAGGTTTATGCAGGAAGCACAGCTTTTCCAAATGTAAACATCTAAAATGAATAAATAATAATGCCTCCCCCGACGAGCCGCCACTGTTCTATTCTACACCGGACGCGAGCGGCGCGACAAAATACAATAGAATTCTATTGTATTTTGTTGCGCCGCGCGATATGCAAACAAAGAATTAGAATCATTGTAATGTGACGATCAAATATAGGTGCGGGTGGGTGGCGGGCGGATCATTTGAAGCAGAGGACTTGGGTGAAGTTTGAGCTCATCCGCGCATCTCTACACTAAACTGACCTGGGTCCAGTAGCAAACAATGGAGCGCGCTCTGCTGGACAAACTAAGTAATTACACCATTCAGAAGCATTTAATCTGCGTTATATGTTCTGTAAAAGAAAAATGTTCATATTGGCGGCATATTCGCCGATACCGATATATCGGTGACAGGCTCATATCGGCCGATAATATCGGCTAAACGATATATCGGTCGGGCTCTAGTTCTCAGTAGTCAGTTGAACGGGAGCACAGTATAGTTCGATTCACCAACATTTTTTATTACTATTTGTGTGTGTCTATGTATTATGTGCTGACAGTTTGGATTTTTACAGTTTGTAAAAATCTTTATAAAATTGACACTGAAGACTGGAGTAATGATGCTGAAAATTCAGCTATGATCGCGGGAATAAATGTCATTTTAAAAAATAGTAAAATATAAAACAGTTTAAATTGTAATAATATTTAACGATATTACTGTTTTTACAGTATTTTTTATTAAATAAATGCAGACTTGGTGAGTACAAGAGTCTTACTGACCCCAAACCTTTGAACAGTAGTGTAAAAAAAAACAGTAATTCACTATGTGGCACATTTTACCCCACATAATAAATATCTAAAGCATTCATATCATTTTGGTGAAATTTTTGCCCGAACTCTGGTTAATGTCTAACCTTACTTTACACCTATTTTACCACAGTGAGTGGGTGTGGTAGGCACAACTTTATTATTTTTATTACAGTGTATACAATCAGTCTTTTTCTTGCTCCTTCAGGGAAACATCGTGTCTGGCCAGTTTAAGTTTCATGGAATCATCACTACATTTGAAATGATAATGGCTGACTGTCCAGAGCTGAAGAAGATTAACTGGCGCTGTGTGGTGATCGACGAGGCCCATCGCCTAAAAAACCGCAACTGTAAACTGCTGGAGGGACTCAAACTCATGAACCTGGTAAATTTTTTGCTCATTTGTGGACCATGAAACATACGTAGATGTTTTTGTCATGGGATGTAAGTGTCATGTGTCATTTATAATATCAACTGCTCTACAAATGATTCAAAGAGTTTCCAGAAAAGGAGAAGTAAAGCCATCTGTGAGCTAAAATACAGTGCTATCTCTTATGTACACATCTCATTTATCTGCTTCACTGCATTTACATGCACACATCCTCTCTGGACACAGAATGAGTAATCTCATCTCTCTCACTTTTATATATTACTGCAGCCATGGCCAGTGTGTGCAAACTGAACTACATTTGACGCAGTGCCGCTTTATCCAACAAAATATCTCGCAGCTAATTAGGTTTTCGCAGATGCATTTTGATATACAGTGGTTTAAAAAGTATTTGGACGATTAAGCCACTTTGCAGTAGTGAATGACATCCAGAATGTGTATAAATAGTGTTTTCACTATATTTAAATTTGTAAATAAATGCTACTTTTGATATTTTGTATCGAATGCATTTATTTTTAATTGAGACTTCAGTCTCCAAATACTTTTTTGGTCCACAGTATACAAATGTATCCTTATGTTGGAGCCCAAATGTGTGAGACTATGTTCAAAGTCCAGCTCAATGTTTCCCAGTGTTGTTTCTCCGTCTTCATCCAGAGAGAGTTGGTATAGATATCTTAAAATGGACATACATACTTAATGTTTCTATGTGTCTTCTCTCTTAAGGAACATAAAGTCCTTCTCACAGGAACCCCTTTGCAGAACTCAGTTGAGGAACTCTTCAGTCTGCTTAACTTTCTCGAACCCTCACAGTTCCCTTCCGAGACCACTTTCCTGGAGGAGTTTGGAGACCTGAAGACAGAAGAGCAGGTGAGATCTAACCCTTGATTGGAAGCTTGTTATCTTTCCTTATGGGCTAGATAAACATCTACACACCTTCACCTCCAATTGTCTGCTCCACCTAGAGGATAGTAGGCAACATCCTTATTAAAATTTTGTGGTCAATGCCGATAAACTCAGAATAGCCAAATAAATTGCTGATGTATTTTTGTAGGGCAACCTGAAAGTTAGCATGACCCTGGTTCCCTCGACAAAAAGCTAGTAGGACTTTTCTATTGGCTTTTGGCTTTTTGCTGAAAATAAGCTTGGTGACCAACAAAAGTTTAAAACAACAAGCTACACCACAGTCGGACGACTTCGGCTTCACCACCATTATGCTTTCCATAACGCTTTTGATCTTTATTTAAAATCTACAAGTTGGAAAGTCTGAGTTAGAATAGTTTTCAAGAGCACAATTTATTAACACAACAAGGCTGTAAAAGCAACTAGTGAGTAGATGAGTTTACCTGTTCAGTGTGACGTTTAATGTCCCTGACTACCTTTTTTATTCCCATTTAGCCACTTGTTAGCAACCGACTTTTTCAAGACATAAAAAAAACAAAAAAATGTTCATGTTGGAGTGTTACAGATGTAATTCGTGTTGTAGAATAAAACTTGAAAATATCTTGAACTTGTGTTAATCACAGACTTTATTTTAGGCAATTAACCAAAAACCCTTTCAAAAAAACCTTTGATTTTGGAAAGATGGAAGTGGAAAATGCTCATTTATTTCCAGGTTTTAGGACTCAATATTAGGCCATATGGCCTGATTATTATTGACTGATTATGTGCCCAGCTTTAACCTGAGAAACATCAACATATCCTCAGGTAAAGAAACTGCAAGCCATTCTGAAGCCCATGATGTTGAGGAGACTGAAGGATGACGTGGAGAAGAATCTGGCCCCTAAAGAGGAGACAATCATTGAGGTGGAGCTCACTAATATTCAGAAGAAGTACTACCGCGCCATTCTGGAGAAAAACTTTGCCTTCCTTGCCAAGGGAGCAAACCAGCACAACATGCCCAACCTCATCAACACAATGATGGAGCTTCGCAAGTGCTGCAATCACCCATACCTCATTACAGGTGACATCTGGAGTTTAGATCAAGTGTCAATATGAAATATATCTTGGTTGCAGTTTTCTACATCTCAGTAGCCACACCTCTAATTTGTAGTGCTGACGTAGTCCCCCATCTTCCTTCTGTCAGGTGCTGAAGAAAAGATCCTTGAGAGCTTCAAGAAAACCTACAGTTCTGATGCTGTAGATTTTCAGCTGCAGGCAATGATCCAGGCCGCTGGTAAACTAGTACTTATTGACAAGTTGCTGCCCAAGCTGCTGGCCGGAGGACATAAAGTGCTGGTGTTTTCCCAGATGGTCCGGTGCCTGGATATACTGGAGGACTACCTCATTCAGAGGAGGTGAGACAGTTGCTTATTATACAGTGCCATGAGTCATACTTCTATAAAAAATGTTCAGCTGTTTTTGAAACTGTAAGTGAATGAGGAAATAGACTCCGAATGTCGATATGAAATCAAAACTTGGTTTACTTCACTTGTTGCTTTTCTTCAGGGATCCCATAGTACTGAAAAACCACTTAAAATGTTTTTTTCTTTATTTTAACATTTTTTAAATACTTTATAAAAAAATCCATGGAAATGCATTGGTCAAAATGTGCGAGAAACCGGTGTCTTATTACATCATTTAAGAAAAAGGTTTGGGGTCAGTGAGATTTTTTTTTTTTAAGAATTAATTATTTTTATTCAGCAAGGATGCAATAAATTGATCAAAAGTGACAGTAAAGACATAATGTTACAAAAGATTTATATTTCCAATAAATGCTGTTCTTATTAACTTTTTATTTATCAAAAAATCCTTTCACTTTTGGAACTTTAGTTAGTGTGTAATGTTGCTGTTCGAGCATAAACAACAAAAGTAAAGTCTGCAAAGTTACGATGCTCAATGTTCAATGCAGATATACAGAGATATTCTTTAAAGAAATCGCTGTTTAAGGACTACAAAACAACGGCTGGTAGGGACTACAACGAGCTTCTTCCTGGGTTTGTGACATCACTAACCCCGATGTTAACATAAACCCCGCCCCCGGGAACACGCAACTACCCATAATTTTAAGGGGGCATGACGTTTCCGGACAACGTGCACTAGGCGGTTAGCGAATCACAAACACACTGAGCCCGCTAACCAATCAGAGGCCATTGCGTATTTCTGAGGGAGGGGCTTCATAGAACCAGGAACTCAACAGACCGTTTTGACGAGAATGGAAACAGCGG